ATGGGCGACAAGCCTTCCCTGGCTGCACGGGCCCAACAGGAAGGTACGGCTGACCACCCAAGCCTCCTTGGGAGGGGCAGCTGCTGGGAAGCCCCCGGGGACCCACACCGAGCAGCCCATAAATCTGGGAGACCTCCAGGAGGCAGGAAGCCTCCGTGCAGAGGTGTCCCAAGCTTGAGGGGAGAGGAGACGGGCGCACCCCTCACGCCGTCCCCCCCCCATCCCCCCAGGGTCTGAGCCACGGCCACTGCCCCAGGCCCCACCCAGCAGGTCATCGGTCTCGGGCTGCGCCCCGATGGATGTGCACTAACTGTGTACTCCTCGCTGACCTAGCAGCTGTGCTAGAACCTGGCTGGCCAGGAGCTCTGATCCCGGCGGGACGTCCCCGAGACCTGCAAGCGGGCGTGGGCATCAGTCAGCCCAGTGCCGCCGCCTGTCACAGACTGTCCAAGGTGGTGGCAACGCCAGGTCCTCGAAGGGCCCAGAGCTTACAGACTCTCGGTCTCCTGGGCCAGAGCTGGGGAGGGAGGGAGGATTTGAAAGAACAGGGGCTCTGGACTGAGGAGGGGGCTGCCATGGGGCCGCGTGGCCCCCTTTGGGCCCTGGAGCTCCCCACTTCTCAGCTTGCCTTTGCCGGCCTGGTACTTTGCCAGCGCTGGGACTCAGTGGAGGTTGAGGCACCCCGGGAAGGATGGCCAGAGGTCTGCGCCTACGGAAGGACACACGGGGGCCTCGGGCTGAGCCACGAATGGGGCTGAGAGGACCCCCCCGGGCTGGCTGAGGCCTCCGGCCTGCCTCCCAGCCCCCTGCCCCGTGGCCAGAACCAGCCCGCTGCTGGCACTGGCTGTTCTCGCTGGCACTGGCTGTTCTCGCTGGCCCTGGCCTCCGGGGCCTGGCCCTCTGTCCCCCCACCCCCCCTTGGAGTCACGGCTCGCCCTCGAGGGCCAGGCCTCTGCCTAGGGCTGGAGAGGTGCGTGCCCCTAGTAGCCAGGAGGCTGGCTGGAGGGCGAGCAGAGATCAGTCCTCACGACCCTGCCCTGGGGGCCGAGGAGGGCTCCTGGTACAGGAGGCCTTCCCGTGAGCCCCGGACTTGCTGAGGGGGGCCCTTCCCGTGAGCCCCGGACTTGCTGAGGGGGGCAGCTGCTCGGGGCTGTCTGCAGCCTCGCCAGAGCCCCGGGGCCCGCCGCAGGAAGGTTTTCCTACAGAAACTGGCAGCCCAGGGACCCCCGAGGCCAGGAGACTAAGTGCAGCCTGGCCCCTGGGATCCAGGGGCTGACTCCTTGCTCTCCGGAGGCTGCGTGCGCCCCTTGCTTTTCTGTGGGTGCCCGCTCCATCCTGAGCCCTCATGTTTGGGTGAGCAGGGCTCAGAGGGAGGGCGGGCAGGCATGTATGGTGTGGACCCTGAGACGGGGATGTTTATCCCGAGTGTGGGGCCCCAGGCACCAGCAGGTGTGGGCAGCCTCCCCTCCCGGCCAGTCGGCCTCAGCCACTCCCTCGTCTGCGCTTCAGAGTCTGGCCCCGGTGGCTTTGTGCTGGGACCCTCCCTCTTCCTGTGGGGGGTCTCAGCACGCCTCTTATCGCCGGGTCTGATATGGTCTGATCTCACCGTTTGTCTTTCTGAGGGTCGTCTCATCTGCCTCGTTTCTGAATGAGGGATGGGGGATCCTCCCTGTGAGGCCAGTTTAGGACAGCAGTGCAGGGATGGGGACTTAGGACTGAGGGTCGTTGGCCTGGAGTGAGCGTCGTGTGGGTGTAAGGGGCACACCCTCGGGGACCATGGGCCCACGGCCGCTGCACCAAGTGCCCCCCCCCAACCCCGGTTGGGCGGTGCCACAGGCCCCCAGGAGACCCCGGTCATTCCTGGCTCCCAGGCAGCAGGGCATCAGAGGTGGCAGCCGAGCCCTGCGTGCTCCCTGAGGGGGCTGAGTAGGTCTGCCTGAGGTCACAGTTTCAATGTGTATTTTCGGCCGTGTGTGCACTGCGGGGACTTGGCCTGCGCACTGTGTGTGCCGCTCATACTTGGTGGGCTGTGTAATATGCAGAGGCGTTGCCAAGGGCAGCGGAAATGTGGACTTTTTCCAGCATAATCACATGAATCTACCACCACCCGCCCCTGCCCCCGGCCCCGTGCCGTCCCAGCCGGCTGCCAGGGCGCTGCTGGGGTGGAAGGACGACAAGGACCAGTGCTTCGTCCCCATCGACCTGTGTCCACTGCTTCAGCCCCTGGCTGCTTGAGGACAGCAAGGTGTCCAGGGCCCGATCCCCCTCCGGGCTGCGTCCTCAGTGTTAGGTGGGTCCCCTTTGGGCTGGGGAAGCAGGGTGGCGGCTGCTCCAGATGCCCTGCCAGGGGGAAGAGGCAGGGGGAAATGCAAACCAGGCAGGCAAGGTGGGTCCTACAGGGAAGAGTCACGTTCCTACAGGGCTGGGCAGGGAGAAGGGCCCCTGGGGGCCAGCGCTTGTCCAGAGAGCCCTCTGGCCTCACCAGCTCTGCCTTCCCACCTGGCCCTGAGGCCCAAGACCCCGAGTCTCTGATTCCAGTGACACGAGTTTGCTCACGCGGCCAGAACAAAGTACCATAGACTGAGGGGCTCAAACAACAGAAACGCATTTTCTCCCAGTTTTGGAGTTTGGAAGTACTGGATCAAGGTGTCGTCAGGGTTGGTTTCCTCTGAGGCCTCTCTCCTGGGCTCGTAGGTGGCCTTCTTCTTGCTGTGTCTTCACGTGGTCGTCCCTCTGTGCGTGTCTGTCCTAATCTCTTCTTAGGAGGACTCCAGTCATATTGGATTAGGGCCCGCCCTTTATAACTTCCTCTTAAAGTCGTTAAGAGGTAATTATCTCCAAATACGGCCACATTCTGAGGCGCTGGGGGTTAGGACTTCAATGTATTAATTTTGCCGGCGGGGGGGAGATACACAGTTCAGCTCTTAACACCAACATATGATCAAAGCCACGTTCTCCCGGGGCCCAAGCCAGAGGTGCCTTCTGCAGCATCCTTGTTGGCCACCCCAGCCCACCCTGGTTGGGGGGACACTGTGGCTGGGCCGGGGGTCGGAGGTCCCGCACAGGCAAACAGCTGCATCCTGGGGGAGGCTCATTCTGTATTCAGCTCAGTCGCCAGGAGAGGAAACCGGGGCTCTCGCGATGCTGGGGACGGCTCCCCGTTTGCTTAGCTGAGGGGCACGCAGTTGCCACGGTGACCTCTATCTGAGCAGTCAAACACACACAGCCCAGCCACTTCTCCAGGCTGGAGGGCTCCCCACCCCCACCTCAGAGTTCACACTGAGTGTTGAGTCCCTTGGTGAGAAAAACATGGAAACGGTTGCCATGGCAGCCATTCTTTGGAGCCCTCAGACTGGAGTGCAAAGTTGAGGATGCCCAGGAACAGCTGAAATGAAAATATGGGAAAATGCGCCACTTCCCTCGCCCCAGAAGGATGAGTCAGATGGCGTTCGGTGGAGGGCCCAGCCGTCCCTGCCCCTTCCCATCACCCCGGGGCTAAGTGTGGGCACGGGAGGGGAACGGGGAGGGCCTGGGGAGACCTTGAGAGAGGCCAGCCAGGCCAAGCTGTGGGTGGGCCCAGTGCCCAGAGCAAAGCGGGCAGGCGATTACCTCATGGCATTCCCTGGGGACATGTCCTCGTGGCTGGAGCGCACCTTGTCTTGGTCGCTTCACCTGTAATCTGGGGAGACAAGCTCCTTTCTCAGGCGGGCTCAGGTCCATGATCTTCAGCCTGTCCAGGGGTATTCAGGACGTGGTGGCAAGGGGAAGGCGCCATGTTCTGACCGTGGGGAGGGAGTCCAGGTTTCCCTCGGACGGGGGTTAGTACAGCAGAGACCTCTGCACTTACCCCTGGAATGGTTGTGTGTCTCTCCCACCACCACCACCATCACCAGAAGGTCCCCAGGTAGGCTCCATGGGGCTCTGGTGCCTTGAGATGCACCAGCCAAAGGGTCCTGCAGTCAGTTGTTTGGGAAGCCAATACACGCGTGTGTGCACACACTTTGTAGATTAAAGGCTCTCACATATTTGAGCAAAATCCCCCCCCTTAAAACAAAAAAGTATGTCCTCCTTTTACGAAGTATCTCTTAATATCCTGCAGAAAGAACACCTGTTAACGTTTACTAGAGCACTGATTCTCAAAGTGTGTTCCCTGGACCCGCAGCATCTGGGAATGTGTGAGGTGTGCGGTCCTGGGCCCCAGTCCACATCTGTTGAATAGGAAATTGGGGTGAGGCCAGCCATGTGTTTGACGAGCCCTCCACGGGATTCTGATGCCTGCTCCAGCTTGAGAACCCCTTCTACTCAGGGAAGGAGGAGCAGAGAATTGAAAGGGAGGGGAAGGGCCTGAGAACGGGGAGAGGGTCAGGAGGCCAGGGAGACAAGGCAGTCTGGCAGGGATGGGAGGCGGGCAGTACAAGGATCCTGGACTCTGGAAGAGACGCTGCAGCCACCCTGAAGGGCTGTTCAGCGTGCACTGCACCTGGGCACTGAGACCCCATTCTGGTTTTCTGAGATTGGATCAAGGGCAAGGCTGTATGTCTAGGGGTGTCATGAGGCTTGATGTTAAGTGACGGGGCCTTTGGAAATGCCCAGGGGGTACCATCTGAGGAGGTTCCCCCGAGCCTGTGCTGAGCGGCCAGTGCTGTGCTCATGGAGGGCACCCACCCCGGCAGCTGGATTCTGCCCAGAGTTCTGGGGATGTGGTCAGAACCTACAGCACCTTCCTGGACCCTAAAAGGGCTTGTCCCCAAAGACAGTGCTGGGTGGCACCTAAAACACAGGACATACGGCTTCCTGGAACAGCGGCCTTGGCCCCAGTATCAGCTTTGCCACCACACACCCATTTCCTAGTCGGGTACCCCGTGCAGTCACTTCCCGGCTCCGGGGCTTCTTTCCCTTCTCCATCAAACAGGCTGCCCCATCCCTGGCCCTCCTGGACGCAGGAGCTCGGGGTCCAGGCGGCACCCATGGCCCACCCTCCTGCCTGTGCTTCCTTGCAGCCGTCCAGATCCACATCCTGAAGGCGGACAAGGCAGGGGACTGGTGGAAGTTTACGGTGAACATCATCTCCGTGTACAAGCAGGGCACCAGCCGCATCCGCCGCGGTGACCAGAACCTGTGGATCCGCTCGCGGGACATCGCCTGCAAGTGCCCCAAAATCAAGCCCCTCAAGAAGTACCTACTGCTGGGCAACGCGGAGGACTCGCCCGACCAGAGCGGCATCGTGGCGGACAAGAGCAGCTTGGTGATCCAGTGGCGGGACACGTGGGCGCGGCGGCTGCGCAAGTTCCAGCAGCGCGAGAAGAAGGGCAAGTGCAAGAAGGCCTAGCGCGGGGTGGGGGGCAGCGGCGCGCCGGGCGGGCTGGGCGCCGGGGAGCGGGCGCCCCGCCACCGCGGCGGCGTGGACTTGGCCCGTGAGGGCTTTTCCAGCTGGGGGGAGGGTGGGGTGGGGCCGGCGCGGGGCCCTCGGCGGGGCCCCGCCCCACTCCTCGCGCGCCTGGGCCCCGGCGGATTGAGGACGAGATTTAGCTACCTCACGGGTTCCCTCCGGAGCAGAGAGGCGCTCCCCCCGGGGCCGGGAGGGGGGCCGGGGCAGGCGGGCGCAGGAGCGCGCAGGTGGCCCACAGCGAGGGGTAGAGAAGAGCACACGAGGAGAACTGTGAACCCCCAGGCCCACCGCCTGGCCAACCCCCCCTCCCCCTCCCCCCAGCACAGAAAAACCCACACCCTTCTTCGGGAATTCCCACAGGAGCCCTGCTTGTGACAACTGGGGTCCCCTGTGCAGGGCCCTGGGGGCATGCGGGGGGGGGGGGCGGCAGGAGCCTGTCCCAGCAGCCTTCCCCGGGCGGCCTGTGGTCTCCACCGCGCCGCCTCGGTCCCCCCCGGCTGGGAAGCCCCCGCCCAGCTGACGGGTGAGCCCAGGGCCACCCCTGAGAAGCCCGCGGAGGTGCCTGACGGAGGCGGCATCGCGAACGCGAAACCTCTCCGAGAGTCTCCTTTCTGGCAAGCTGGAAGCGGCCCCTTCGTGACATTTTCCGGGGAAGGGGCACGGGCGGGGTTTACGGCAGTGACGCTATTCGTGTGATGACCTCAGCTCCCACAAGGCCCCGAGCAGTGTCCACAGCTGGCCAGGGCCTGCAGTAAGGCCGCGGGCTGGCAGGGGCAGGAACCGCTAGGGTGCTGGGTCCGAGGAAGCCGTGGCCAGTGCCTGCTGCGGCCCTCACTCCTGGCTCCCCCAGAGTAGGGACAGAGGCCGCTAAGCTGGGGAAGCCTGCTGGGGCCGCCCGCCGGGGCTGCCTACCTGGCTGTCCTGGTACCGCCCGGCAGCACCTCGCCCACTCCTTTCTGGTGGCCCCCGAAGATGGCCTCACACGGGGCCTGTCGCCTGGGGGCGCCAGCTGCACTGGCCGCACACTGCAGTCGAGGCCCGGCTCCTCTGTCAGGAATTGGGTTTCATCGTCCCTGCTGGGGTCTGGCCGCTCGGAGGGGTCACACCAAGGATGAAGCTCGGGCCCCGTGGTCTGGCTTCCCTGCTTCGGCCCCCATCGCCCCTGCCGTTTACCGCGCACCCGCCCTGTGCCAGGCACTTCAGCCTTGGGATCTCCTGTTATCTTCGTAGCAGCCCTGAGAGACGGGTTCTCACCCCCAGTGTCCCCGTGCAGTTAAGTGGCAGAGCCGGGCTGTCTGACCCTCCGCGGTTCCCTCGCAGGCCACAGGGGGTGCTTCTGGGTGAGTCAGCCCTCAGATGCTGGCCCTGGTGATGGCATCAGGCCTGGAGCACAGAGATCAGGAAGTGGGGGCAGGGATGGGCACAGTTACATCTTCAGAGGTGGCAGCTAGGGCCGTGGCTGATCCTAAGGTGGAGGGAGAAAGGCTGCCTGGGGGTGTTTGGAGGGATTCCAGAGATGCCCCCAGGGGCAGGGGGAAGACAGAACTGCGCTGGGAAGGGGTGTCTGCCTTGCCTGAGTCCAAGCCCAAGGCTGGGAGCGTAGGGACCGCTCCCCGCATTTGGCCCTCCAACGCTACCCAGGGTTGTCCGAGTGCACTTAGCTGGCCCACAGGCCTGGAGAGGCCCTGCCCTGCCCAGTTGTCCGGCATCGATTCATACTGGCCCGGCTTCTCTGCCCTCTGCCCAGAAGGGCCACGGCAGCCTCACCACCTCCCACCTGAGTGGGCCCGAGTCTCAGCCCCCATCACCAGGGGCCTGCACTGGTCGTCTCTGAGGCCCCTCAGGCGCTGGAGCCAACGGCCTGCCAAGCGGCACTGCATCTTGCTTTAAATTCAACCAGCCTCGCCCTCCTGCTCGGCACCCCGAGAGCAACGTAGCTTGGCCTCTAGGAAATGTTAGGGAATGCCAGAGTGACCAGATCAGCCAGCGTGGGGCGAGGACGCTGTTGGGGTATCAGTCCTCGCAGGCTGCCCTCCCCACTTCACGGATCCAGCCAGAGCCAGCCCACCGCTCCTCTGAATCCAGCCACCAATTTGGGGTGAGGACCCATCCTTGGGAAAGCACCCCTCTTCCTCCCCTCGCCCCCCCTCCCCGGGAGGAGATGGAAATAAGAATTGAGGTGCTCCGGCTTGTACAGTTAGGAAAGGATATAAAATGGAACTAGATTTTGAAGAGTGTATTAACCAGAGTTGTGATATTGTAGGTGTTTGAAGAAAAACATACCAGAATAGTCTTTTTAGGAAAAAAAAAAAAAAAAAAAAATTTCCAAGTTGCCCACTTTCTTACCTGCTGGGTGGTCTGGAGCCCCTGACAGCAGGGTCCCTGCGTTTCTGACACACAGTAATGCTACTGGGGCAGAGGGAAGTGGGGCGGATGGGGGCCCGCCCCTGGACTCACCTGCAGGCTGGGGCTTCCATCCTGAGCCAGCAGGGCAGGAGGCAGCATCCTCAGGTCCTGGTCAGTGGGAGGCCGGGAGCTGCCCCAGGTGGCCCCTCGCGCCCGCCTGGCACTCTGCCTCCACAGTAGCTGCAGGAAATGGGCGCAGACTGGCTTGGGGTTGCCCCAGGTTGGAATGAGACTGAAATCAAGGAGACCCTGAGGGATCGGGAGATGGTCCCTTTAAGAAACTGAAAAATGTTAGGGTTTCAATGCTCAAAGGACGACTGGAGAGTGGACAAACCAGACCCATGGATGGGGTTACTGGGCCACGGTTCATGGCCACAGCCAGGCCATACCCTAGGGCTATCGGAATGTGTGCTCGTGGGGCCTTGGCCCTGCCAGAACCAAGCCAGCCCCCCTCCCCAGGGCACCTCCCGTCCTCCCCCCGACTCCCTCCTACGTTCGGAGTTCTGTTCACTCAGAATTGTACATGTTTAGTTGTGACCATGACATATTGTTTGGGTCGGTGTTCCTCTCCAATGCATACTAATATATTATGGTTATTATATATGAATATATTTAATGACATGGAGAAAGCTGTGGATTTTTTAAGTTTTTCTTTTTTTTCTTTTTTTTTTTTGGTTAGAGTTGTAATGGACCCAGATGGAACTTGTAACATGGGCCCCACGTGACAGAACTAAATTCAGATATCAATTAAATAAACTCTTGTGCACTATTCTGTCTCCCGGTCTTTATTGGTGGCCTGAGCTACGGGGTGGTCGGCCTGTGGGGAGAGAGGGTGGTGAGTCCTCAGGCCATTTAAGGAATATGGCTTCTGGTCTAAAAACTCCCCAGCACGACAGAGCCCTGGGTTTTTTCACAAAGCCTGAGATGGTGCCCTAACAACCCACTAAAATAAAAAGATTCAAAAAAACAAAAACAGGAAAAGGGCAGCTTTGCTTGGAAGGTCCTAGGGGCGGGCTGGCTCCAAGTGCGATTTGGACAGTCTCTATTTCAGTCCCCAAGAGACCATCCCTGGGATCCATCCTGGCCAGTCCCCAGGGCTCCGGGTCAGGGGGACTCCAGGGGTGGGGCAGAGTGCACCTCTGAACCTCCCCATCTGACTCAGAACCTGCAAGTAGAGTTTCTGCCTTGCACGTAACCAGTTTCTTCTATTCACAACTAAGGGGAGACTCACCAGCAGAGACAACAGGGTTAGTGACGTTCAAGACTTTTCTCAAGCCATCGCTGAGGCTTCGTTCGGCGCAGGGATGGGGCCGGGGCTGGCGCCACGCAGCCACCAGGAGCTGAGCTCACTGGCTTTCTGGAGGCTATATTTAAACTTCCAAATGGTTGTGATTTCTCTATTAAATAAACAATTCAGTCATTAGGAACATGTTGCGTTACCATGCAAAGTGGAGCCGATCGTCACCAGGAAGCTATAATTTCTGCACCCAGCTGTTCAGAAGACAAGTCTCAGCCACGCAGATTCAGCCCGCCCCCGGAAGGCACGGAAAGCCTGTCCCTGCTGCGTGGAGGGCAGGCTGAGACGCTGTTCGCCACGGTGTAGGAAGGAACAGGGCTAGCCCAGCCTCCTCAGGGGGTCCGGCTCTAGGAACGGGAGGTGTGCTCTCGGAACCAGGGGTTAAAGCCCAGGTGGGTAGACCCAGGGGCGGCAGCACCGGACGCTGGGTGGGCAGGGACAGGTTACAGGCCTCAGGTGGCTGGACAGGCCGAGGCGAAAGCGAGCCTTTTCTGCAGCCTCGGGCTCCCCTCAAAGCCAGTTCAGACCCAGCTGGACTATTTGCAGGATTTAAGACATCTGCCAAAGCAGGAAATCAGCCAGCTTGCTGCCAAGCCCTGACCCAAGGTGGTTGGAAAAGTCCACTTTAGAGACCGGAATGCCGAGGTATGAGGAAACCGAGAGATTCCCATCAGGGACTCGGGGGGCCAGCAGAGTCTAGTCCAAAATCCAGACCCCGCTGGAGGAGAGTTCCCCGGCGTCTGGCTGGCTCTCGGGGAGGCTCCCGCATTCGTAAATCCCTACCCTCTGGCCCGAGACAGCGCCTGGGGATGGGGGCTGCCGGCTCACGGCAGAGACGCACCTAGGTTTCCGATTCTGTTGAACAGATAGCTCTATCTATACTCTTTTGAGTCTCAATAAAGACGTTTAAGAAAAACTAGGCGTGGAAGGACGGACAGGGACTTCCCTGGTGGCGCAGTGGTTAAGAAGCCGCCTGCCAGCACAGGCGACAGGGGTTCGAGCCCTGGTCCAGGAAGATCCCACATGCCGCAGAGCAACTAAGCCTGTGAGCTGCAAAGAAGAGTAGCCCCGCTCACCGCAACTAGACAAAGCCCGTGCACAGCAATGAAGACCCAACGCACCCAAAAATAAAAATAAATTTATTTAAAAAAAGAAAAAAGGACGGACAGAGCCAGTGTGAGAAATAAAGCAATGAGTTAATCCATCCAAATACTCTATCAGACTGGAGACTCAACAGGACAGCAAGTCACTTCTGGAAAGAGGCAAATGCTTTCTGTTACTGGCATGGAGGTGGGAGAACTCTGAAGCCATAAGAAGCAATTAGAGGAAAGACGAGTC